TCTCTCCCGAACTGTTGTGAGGGTCACGCAACAATCCGCTTTTTTAGGCTCAACGATTATATAACAATAAATTATGGCTGCCATAATAATTTACATATTGTGAATCGACCTCCGTTGAGTACTAAATAAATTGTGTTTCGTTACCTTCTCACTTCTTTCTAATTAAGTGGTAAGGATTTATGGGGCAGATTAGTCATAGTTTTAGCGGTGATGTAAAAGTGAAAAGTTTATGGTACGGTTGGGTACGTGTTCTTTTTGGGTGTAATAATTTGGAAATTATGGTAAAAGGTTTTTAACTCTTTTTCTATGGTGTGCGCTACAACTATAACTTAGAAGTTGTTAACAACTGGACTTACATTATCTGAGATCACAATATCGTGAGTCGAATCACGAAAAGGCGTAAATGATTTTTATCAATTTTACAGAAGCGACATTTAAAGATAATTTGAAGTATGGAAAAATTAATTACGGGCCCTTTATACCTGTCAATACTGGAAAAGAATTCAGTTACGACCTCTTGTGCGGTTATATAATGCATGTTTTTCAATAACACGGTGTGTTTAACTCAATATCGCCATTTTGTTTAAATTAAATACGCCTTTTCGTGATTCGACCCACGACATTAGGAACCTACTTTGAGCCCGTGGAGCCCGCTATCGTCTAAAGCCCGGTTTCCATCAAGGCAGAGCGGAGAAATGTTTTGAATAACTAATCAAACTTCATTGTCATCACATGACATCTTAATTATTAAAAATCTAGATTTTTAGACAGTCTTAAAGTAAATCTTCTTAACGGAGATCGTTCTATTCTAAAACACTGAACCGTATTGGGGCGTATCATTTCTATAAACGTAAGCATGTAATACATACCAACTTCTAAAAAAGTGATTTAGGTAGTACTTCTCAGATAGAAAAACGATCAGAAGCGCATTTCAGCTAACGTTTTTAAAACATATTCAGGTGCTTTAATCAAATGTAATTTTACATGTAATTTTACAATTGTTAACATTAATTCAGTTAATTTACATCCATTACAACGTATTAACGTAAAAACTTAACACCTTCGCGTCGGCTAACAAAACCTTTTGTGACGACACAAAAAGTCAACCCTCCAGTATCGCGTGACTAACTCCGCACTTACACAATTATCGGTGCGACGTGTGGTGTGATGGGTTAATTTAGCCGTAATGCTGTTTTACTCTATCAGCTTTTTGATGGAATTGAAATAATTGCGCTTTTATTGATAGAAAAGCTAATGTTTTGTTATGAAGCATCACTTATTTACATCTATATGTATAGGTAAAAGCGGAAGGTCACTGATTGACTGACTCATCATCATCATCATCATTTCAGCCATAGGAAATGCCATCATTTCAGTCAGTGGACGACTGCTGAACATAGGCCTCCCCCAATGACTTCCACATCGCACGGTTGGTAGCGGCTTGCATCCAGCGCCTTCCTGCTACCTTTATCAGGTCGTCGGTCCACCTTGTGGGTGGACGTCGCACGCTGAGTTTTCCGGTACGCGGCCTCCATTTCAGAACCTTGCTGCCCCATCGGCCGTCAGTTCTGCGTACTATGTGCCCTGCCCGTACTATGTGACTGACTCACTCATCACAAAATCTCAGAAACTACAAGTGCTTAGAGTCTCAAAGTTTGCATGGGGGTTCATTTTAGAACGTAGGTGGTCACTAAGAACGGATCTTAAGAAACTCTACCACTAAGGGGGTAAAACGAGATCCACGCGTACGAAGTCGCGGGTGGCCGCTAGTTTATAATAATTATATAGGTTAGTACATAATTTTAAATCATAAATCTAAACTTAAAATACCCGATTTTATTGTTAAAAGACCTATACCAAAGAATAATAATAAATAGGTACTCCTATACTCATTTTGAAGCTGAAAGAATGCCTATATTGGTAGAGTCAATTGCGTAAAGTAGTAAAGTACGTTTACCAGAGTTAACATTGTGGCACCTTATAAAAAACTCTTAAACTCGTTTTTGCAACAAACTAAAGGTAGGTACAAAAGTACCTACATTAAATGACTAAAATATCTATCTATCTTACTAATATTATAAATGCGAAAGTTTGGATGTCTGGATTAAAATAGTAAGACACGGGTCTTAACGCGACGCGACGTTTATTAATGATTGTTACTCTTTCACCCAAAAACTACTGAACGGATTTTGATGAAACTTTACAGTGTTATTCTTTATAACGCAGAATAACTTAAAGGCTATAATTTATGACGATCTCTGTGACAAACTAAAGTTCACGCGGGTGAAGCCGCGGGCAAAAGCTAGTCTAATATAAACCCTAGGAATGTAGCAATCGGAAACGATCAAAGGGTAGCCTTTGAATAGTTGGATCGGTTGAAACTAGTTTCAGCTAGTGGAATCCTGAAGTTGTAGTGTAAGAGAAAATATTGTTGGTGATTTTGCACTCTAATTATAATAAGAGAAAATCTGATTATTTTTAAATTGAATGATCCTATCTTTAATGAAAGCACGGATTTATTGGTAAAATAAACATATTATTGTCGTGTGAGATATTGTTTACCGTATAACATTGTTTTTTGAAAATTATTGTGTTCAAAGTAGATAATTCCAATATCAATATGTTACACATAATAAATTTGTATCTACTTATCATTTCATTACCACATAAGTGGCGATAAAAGTTTTTCATTATGGTTTTTAAAAATATTTATGCAACGAAAGACATCTAGCGGTCGAATTTTGTATCTCTACAAAAGTAACCCCTGTTCTTGCAGGAAAAAAGCATGGTATGGTTGCTTTTAGCGTAGTTTTACAACCCTCCGTAGGATGGCGCTGTACGCTACAGTTGCTTAGCGCACTCTACCAGGCGTTGTAGAAACGAGCGTCTAGTTACATTTTCAGTAGAAATCTAGCTGTGCGCTTCAATGTATAAGCTAGTTCATCTACATGTTAAAAGATGGCAGTTTTTATGATGTTTAAATAAAAAACTTTTTTAAAACTTTGTTTAAAATATTTTAGGGATTAAAACAATATAGATTAGGTAGGTAGGTAGGTAGGTAAATAGGTACTTGATTGGAATTATGGAAAGTGATAACAGACTTTTGCGATTAAAATCATTATTGATGGCGCTTACTGATAAAGAAATAACTTCATAAAGATAAGCAGTGTAATCATCTACACTAATTTTCCAGTTTAATTGCTATGCAGCTGCTATCAAAGTTATCAAACACATAGATAAGGTTGTTTATGTTGATTAGTAAATTACATTTTAAATGCGCTTTTTTATTGCAAGTCTGAGTCTTAGAATATTATGGTTTTAATAAAAAACATCATTGATGTTATTCGACGTCCAGGGTTCCAGGGTCCCTTATTAAGTTAGGGACTTTTACTGAGTAGAATATTAGTCCCATCATAACCTTATCTTAAATTATCTTAACAATAACAAAAGAACAACTCAACAACAGGTTCCTCTTATATACCTATCGGGTCAGGCCTACCACGAGGTGGATCGACGATTTGGGAAATACAGGATCGTTCGTTGTGAAAATGTTTGGGGGAGGCATTTGTCCAGCAATAGATGACGACGAACGAACGATAAATGTTTACCCTGAGCTCAAATTAATTTTGATAGTTTTAGTAGGTACGGTAAGCCAAGGCTAAAATCAGTCAACAAACATATAATATTCAAATAATAAGAAGTGTTTCAAGAAGACTTAGGTTTTAAACAATTTTTCATGTTGCAAAACTAAGTAACAACCTCAATTATTCGAAACCTCTAATTTAGCACAACTTTTAATTTATTCTCCAAAGGAACGTCTGATTGCAAATTGTTTCCGTTTTGGTATTCAGGCATCGTGGGCCAAATTCACTCTTGTTGCCAAAAAAAAACCTTTTTGTTTTAGGATTTTTTCCACAATGCTACGTTGATGTATTCGAATTCTAAAATGGTTGAGTAACAACATGAATGAAAACGAATAAAGAAATATTCGTAGAGTGACAGAATAAAAATAATGATCGACTTCATATAAATTGACCAACGTATTGAGAGTTAGAGTAGGCGCACACCGTTGATTTTTAGTTGGCCGATAGTTGTGCCCAATTTTAATTTGTATGAAGAATCGGCCAAATCGAATCGGCATAGTGTGCGCACTCCCATACATGCCCATACTGATCAACTGCCCGGCTAAACTATCGGCCGACGAAAAATCAACGGTGTGCGCCTACTCTAAGATTGAGAGGTGAAACTTGCTAGGAACTAATCGCAGATATTTTTGAAGGTGAATTTTAATAATTCACCCCAGACAGAAATAAGATTAGCCTATTTCGAACTTGCATTTGAGGAATTATAGTTCTTATCTTGTTTGAATAAAGGCGACATCTGCTCGAAAATTCTTTGTGAAACTGAAAATTTCGTAAACTCGCGCAACGACTTCATCCATCACAGCTCAATGCAGCTGCTTACTATCAAATGCATTTACTGGATAAATGTAGATTGATCACCCGATTGTCTTGGCTCTATAGGTTTATGATAAAAATAGAATATAATAGAGTATACAGGGTGGAATTTTGTAATGCCATCCGGAGGGAAAGTACTCTTAATAATGTGGATAGAAGATTTTACTCAAAGAAAACATTTCTTTATTTTTGAAAAGAAATAGAACTGCATTCAAAGATTTTTCATATTTTGCTTGCCAAAATCGGGAATCGAAGAAACTAAAATCTTTCAAAAATTACACCCTGTATTTTTATTGCATCGATCGTTAGGGTTAAGTATAAAGAAAAACCATGAAATCTTAAATTATCATAATTATTTACAGAAAATTGTATGGTACGGCGGTGAATTTAAAAAAAAAATCAAAAATCGTTGAATGCAGTTCTCTTTCTTTTTAAAAGTAAAGGAGTGTTTTCTTTGAGTACAATTTCATAATTATCTACAGTATTAAGAGTACTTTTCTTCCAGGTGGCATTACAAAATTCCACCCTGTATAATAGAGTAGAGAAGTTCTATTAAATAATAAAATAATAGTCAGAATAAAAATATGTTCGTTCGTTTTAACCTAATGACTTTCAGTTCTATAGGCCTAGGATAATAGGTAAGTATTAACACTTAAAGTAAGTAAGGTCACGTTGGTTTCTTTAACGAGTTGGTATTAATAAGCGGTACTCCTTTCTCTAAACATAAGTGGCAAATAATTGTTTTTTACACCTTGAACAAGATGCGATTTAGTATTGACTTCAACTTGTCTGGTCGACTCAGGCGCAGGTTCCACGTTGAACTTCGAGAGAATGGCCGCCAGACCAGCCAGCGACTGCATCAAACCCAGACGACTACCTGAAACCATAAACATTATAGTTACAAAAAGATCAGAGGTGGAATTGTGTAAAGCAATCGTTATCATTTGACAGTTCATAACGTACGATTATTCTGTCAAAAGCTTTGTTTAGCTGACTTGACTACTAATTATAATACCTTACCTATGCAATTACGTGGTCCTTCACCGAACGGGAAATAAACCAATTTTTGCCTGGAAGTAAAATTATCCGGATGAAATCTTTCCGGACGAAATTCTTCAGGATCATCCCAATAATTTGAGTCCATGTGCAACGACTGTACTGGAATCAATATTTTTACATCTTCATCTATATTAAAGTTTACATCTTTGAACGTGAACTTTGACGTACACTCTCTTATGAGGTACCCAAGTGGGGAGAACATTCTAAGCCCTTCTTTAAACGCCCATTCTAAGTATGTCATCTCTTTTATAGCGTCATAACACAGTGAACCATTATATTTATCAAGGACATCATCAATTTCATTCTGAACTTTTTTTTGAACATCGGGATTGAACGCCAGTTGATGTAATGTGAAACTTGTTGAAGATGCAGACGTTTCAAACCCAGCAGAAAAGAACACAAACACTTGGGCAGCGAATAACTCATCATCCAATTCAGCTGACACCTGCACGGGTGTACCATCAGGGTTGAGTTTTTCTATGGATTCTCCTTCCATAGCACCTTTTTTTTGACAGGCTAAAAGCAGATCTATGAAATCGTTGCGACCCGATGGCTGATAGTTTCTTTTTATTTGTATTTGTTTCACCAAATCCATTATGTCGTTTTCGATTTTCGAGAACACCTTTAAATTTTTGAAGAGCTCAGGAAACAATTCTTTCAGTATATTAATTATAACATCTCGCGTTGTGGTTGAAAATATTTGTGCACCAATTTTACGGAATTCTGAGTTTTCTTCATTCAATGAGTCAGAGTCTATTCCGAAACCACAGGCACCAATAAAGTCAGTGGTGAAGCAAGACATGAGGTCACGCACATTCAAGGGACAATTTTGAGAGGCGGCTGCTAAAGTGCGTAACTGTAATTTCTCAGCTCGTTCTACAATTAAAGGGAACATTGCTTTTAGTTTTCCACTTGTGAATGCTGGAGTCATTCTTTGTCTCAACAAACGCCAAAGATCTCCATCAACAGAAAACAAATGTTTTCTTAAAGGTTCTGTCACTGTTTTATGAGTATTGAATCCACGACTGTAAAATGATGAGAAATCATTGACAAGAATATTTTTTATAAGTTCTGGATTTCTTATAATTAATTCTGGTGTGTGTGCCTTGAAAGCACCAACGACATCTTCATCGGGATACTTCCAATACAGTTCTTCCGCCATCTGTGATCTGCTTTGCTTCCCAAGCGAAACTTTTGTGTATGTCCCGAAAAGTAGAACAGGTTTTTCGTGCTTGATTCCTCTTTTTTTCCAGTAACTGAATGTTCGAACATTGTATAAATACAATAAAAAAACAACAGAAGCAAAAATGACAATGAAAATCATTTTAAATGATTTTATTGTACCTTACTCCACACTTTATAAAATAAGACTGATTTTGATCTATCTTAATAACTTTTGTAAAATGTTATATTCTTCAAAAGGTTATCTATGGATTTAATAGTCATAATAATACAAGATGATGTAATAAGTAAACACTATCGCTAGAGATTATGGTACAGGTTGTAACGAATTTAGTAATTTATAATATTGTGCTCGGGCAAAAGTAATTATTTATGAGCTATTTCATTTTTATTTTTTTAACGGAAAATTTTACGTAGACTAAACATTTTTTTGTTGTCTAGAGCACTACAAGTATTAGATGCATTTAGATGTCTCAAACAAATGTAACTTTTTAGTGTAAGTAGTATAATTTAATTGAAATTGTCTCCTTATGATTTTTCCAAATTTTTAATCAAAATAACATGTCATAAATGGTTGACTTGTGCGTATTATATCGCACGTTCATAATCAAACCGTCACTATACAAAAAAGTCGATTTTTCAGGAAAAGCATTTGAAATACTCAAATTTTAAAACCTTTGCAAAGTGTGCAAAATGTTCTTAAATGTTTTGTTTTTTGTTGAATACCAGTAGTGGCTTGTTTGGCTTTTACGGGAATATAATTATCTTTCAAATTATCATAATGGTTTATTTAATATTTAATTTTTTCCCTAAAAATAGTGTCACTTTTCCACTAAAATTGAGACAGTGACAGTTTTCAATTAAAAACATGTTAATGTTGTATTATTAATTCCGGTAGAAATGTCACTATTTTCATATAAATTTGACGATGAAAGATTAAAAAATGATTATTATTAAATAAAACTAACATAGAAAAATCAGTAATTTTAATGAACTTAAAACTTTATAATTTGGATTAAGTGGTACCTATGGTAACAGTAATAAATGTAAATTCTCGATCAGAAATAAATACGTTACACACATGAAATTACTATAAAATTACATCACATAAATCAACTTCTTAGAAAATAAGGTACTCTTTTGTTCAGGCAGCCTTTAAACAACAAGAACTTGATGACCTCGATGAACTTGACGAACTAGATAGTGATTTTTCATGGGAAAAGGGCTCAGAGAAGTAGGTTTAAATTCTGGATCATTATCCAGCGGCCATTACCTCTGCGAGCTATGTGCCCCGCCCACTGCCACTTGATTTTAGCGATTCTGCGGGCTATGTCGGTCACTTTGGTTCTCCTGTGGATCTCCTCATTTCTGATTCAATCACGTAGGGAAACTAACTGAGCATCGCACGCTCCATCACCTTTTGGGTGACCTCTCAGATCCATAAAATATCACTGGCAACACACACTGATCAAAGACTTTTGTCTTTAGGCACTACGGTATTTCGGACGTGAGAATATCACTAAGCTTCCCGAACGCTGCCCAGCCGAGTTGGATTGACGATTGACCTTTTTCTCGAAGTTGGACCTACGTAACTGGACTGTTTGTCCCAGGTATACATAAATTGTCAACAAACTTTCGAGTGTAGAGTCTCCAGATGAGTGGATACTACATGGACATTTGACATGTTTTTTGTCTTGTCCATATTCATTTTCAGGCCCACTTGTTGAAGAGGCTCTACTTAGGCCATCGAGCATTATGCCTAGTACTTCCACAGTTTCAGCCATTATTACGACATCGTCAGCAAATCGAAGGTGGATGATGTACTCGTTGATATTTATGCTGAATCCACTCCAGTCCAGAAGCTTGAAAACATCTTCCAGGGCGGTGTTGAACAGTATCGGAGATATTATGACGTCTCCCTGTCTCACCCCTTGCTGCAACTGGATGAGTTTCGAGTCCTGATCCTGGAGACGAACCGACATTGTGGCGTTTTCGTACAAGCCTTTCAACACTTCGATGTATCTATAGTCAATTTGGCACCGTTGGAGAGACTGTAGCACTGCTCAGATCTCAATCGAATCCAAGGCATTTTCATTTCTTTATAGTTACTTTTGTGAAGCCTCAATGTAACCTTGTTGGTGATCGAATAAATAAATAAATAAATAAATAATCCACAAACGCTAGATAAAGTAGTAATTGATAATTTCTTTGATTTTACTAGTGTTTGGATTGACTGGTGGCATTTTTATTAGCTGTTAAAAAAAATTATAACTACCTACTAAATCATTTAAAAATCTTTCTTGTTGTTTTAATATTACACAATTTGGATAAACACAATATTCTACGAAGTGATGGAACAATCTTCTTAAAAATGTAAGAGAAATATTGTCACTTTTTGTTTTAAGGCGTTTTTCGTATTACTTTATTGTGACTTATCTTAATGATTTGGAGTAAAAGCGTCTTTATGCTAAAAATGACGTTTTTCAACACAGAGTCCACATAACTATCACGGCGTGCCCGTCCAGTTCCCGTCACTACTAAAAACGTGTCACTGTTACTCGCAACATATGCCGGTTTCCCCATTAAACTCCATAACGACACTAGTGATATCTGCCGAACTATTTGAGTTTTAAGCGTGGGATTTTTACAGCATGCACTTTTCGCGGAGCTCTGATAGATGGTGTTGTTAACTCAATTTCTCCCAATTTCGTATAGTGACGGTTTGATTATGAACGTGCGATATCATGTTTTTTGCAAATGGTATGTAAAGGAATGTTCGCTCATTACAAGTCATTCTGGGTTCAAGTGGAGGCTACGTACCGGAATGCGCATCGTAGGACGTCTACCTACAAAGTGGACCGACGACCTCATAAAGGTAAGCAGGAAGGTGCTGGATGCAGGCCGCTACCAAGCGGTCATTATGAAAATCATTGGGGTACAGGCCTATGTTCAGCAGTGGACGTCCTATGGCTGAAATGATGATGATGATGATGATAAAATATTGCTTTATTAAAATTCCTACGCTAAAAATTATCCATTTGTATTAAATGCCACTATGCAGTCCTAGTTTAACTATTACGAGAAAAACTCATTTTTGCAGTTTTCATACTAGTTGCTATTCAAGTAGCCATTAGATAAAAATAATACAGAATACATAGGCTTGTGATACATTTTTAGAATTTCAATTAACCAAGGAAGTTTTTAACCCTTAAATTGGCACTCATTGAACCCTTGCTTCAAAAATGGTCAAATTTGGGATTTAGGTATTGTTTTGATAGATTAAGAAAAAAATATTTACTTTTTGAAAAAAATTCAATTAGTATAGAAGTTATGACATGTCACTCAAAACGGACATTGCTAATTATTTAGCATTACAACCATGTCACTTAGGACGGACATTGCCAGTTTAGAAAAACAAACGTAAAACAACTTTTCTTAATAACAATACAGGAATCCCTGATAATCATCCTCTGGCTAATCCAGCGCCTTTTGCAATCCATCTGGACTATTTACTGTTGATTTTACATAAATTTATCAAAAAATACCCTGACATATAAAAACAGAAAGTGACTGCCTGATTTATCAACATAAATCCCAAACCGGTAGGTATAAAGACACAAAGTTTGGCATGTAGGTTCCTTATTAGGGTCTAGGGGTGTTATCAGAAAGGATTTTTCCAAAATTACCCCCTAAGGGGGTGAAATGGGGGTCCAAAGTTTGTAGGGCGAAACAAAATTAGTTACACTATTTAATTCGAAACATCACAGGATACATTCCTATCGATAAATGAATAAACACGTGTTTCAGGTTATTTCAGAATTCAACCCCTAAAAGGGGGAAATTGGGTAAAAATGTCTAAAAATCAACATGTGTATTTATTACTGATACATGGCATTGTCCGTTTTAAGTGACATAACATTTGTAACCTTGAAATAAATGGAAAAAAATCGATATTTTTTTACAGTTTTGGCAATAACCGTCAGCTTTATTCGTTAATATTCTAAAATCAATCAATAAAGCACAAGAACAAGTGTAATACCTACAGTATTGCCACATTTATCAAGAGTGAAAACTTGACATTGCTATTGCATTTATTCAACTGTCTTTATTTTTAAAATTCGCGGTTTTTTATTGAACTGCAGCCTCGTGTTTCACATAAAATATCATGCTTTTTATAAAATATCCCTTGAAAGTCGATAAATTGCTTTAATTTAGATTCTGTAAGCAATTATTTGACATGTCCTTTAAAACGGACAAAAACAATTTAAGGGTTAAGGTAATGGGCACGATGGTCTTCCTACATTTTTTTTACACGACGGCTGATCAAAAGTGCAAGACAATGAATTAATTTTTCCTTCTTCTCTGCAATTTCTTAAAATTTTCATACTTTTAAACTAGTTTGTTGAACTTTAATCTTTTTTTTTTTGATAGCCCAACTATTGTGATAAGGAAAAAAACTAGATTGAAAAGTATCCTCATTTGTAGAAATGGCATGAGAAAAAGTAATCGCAGGTGGCAATTTTCTAAAAATGCACAAAAACTTAAAAATCTTGAAAACGGTGATATTTTTACTTGGGTCAAAATTGGACGTTAGGGAGACCATGGCGAGGCCTATCGATGGTTACAGGGTTATCCATTGTTTTTGGGACACCCTGTATTTTCACAGACGATAGTGATTTTAGAGATGACAGGTACCTCAGAATCAAACACAAACGTATGTTTATTATGTTTTATGTTATAAATTAATATATTATTACTTAATATTATTATTACCTTGATAATATTGTAACCAACAAAAAATATAGTAGTCTCATTGGTTTCAAAATAAGTGAATTTCAATTATTTTTATTTCTTACTTTGAACATAAGCGGCAAATTATTGTTCTTAACACCTTGAACAACGTTCGATTTTGGATTGACTTCAATATGTCTCGTCGACTCAGGCGCAGGTTCCACGGTGAATTTCGACAGAATGGCCGCCAGACCAGCCAGTGATTGCATCAAACCCAGGCGACTACCTGAAAACCATAAATATTATAATATCTACAGACAGATCAAAGATAACTCTATCTTTTGATTATTTTTTGACGAAGCAACAAGCTAAACAATTTGAATAACATATTATTTGGAAATGATATTGTAGTTTTAAGATGTAATTAATTGTAGGTAAACTAGGTAGGTAAAAGTGAGAGCGAGAAGTTCACTGGAAGCAAGTTTCTTTCCATTTCATATTATTTTACAATTTTATTTTAGAAACAGAATAATGAGATTGATGATTTATTTTGTAACTTTTTATAAAATTATATTTATTTACCTATACAATTACGTGGTCCTTCACCGAACGGAAAATAAACCATTTTTTGTCTGGAACTAAAATTATCCGGGTCAAATCTTTCTGGACGAAATTCTTCAGGGTCATCCCAGTATTTTGGGTCCATATGCAACGACTGTACTGGAATCAATATTTTAACATCTTTATCTATAGTAAGGTTTATATCTTTGAACGTATACTTTGACGTACACTCTCTCATGAGGTATCCAAGGGAGGGAAACATTCTCAATCCTTCTTTAAATGCGCATTCTAAGTATGTCATCTCTTTTATTGCGTCATAACACAGCGAACCATTATATTTATCAAGTACAGTATCAATTTGATTTTGAACTTTTTTTTGAATAATCGGATTGAAGGCTAGTTGATGCAATGTGTAACTTGTTGAAGATGCTGAGGTTTCAAACCCTGCAGCAAAAAACAGAAACACTTGGGCAGTGAATAACTCATCATCCAATTCAGCTGACACCTGCACGGGTGTACCATCAGGGTTGAGTTTTTCTATGGATTCTCCTTCCATAGCACCTTTTTGCTGACAGGTTAGAAGTAGATCTATAAAATCGTTGCGACCCGATGGCTGATAGTTCCTTTTGATTTGTATTTGTTTCACCAAATCCATTACGTCATTTTCTATGTTCCCGAATACCTTTAATTTTTTGAAGATCTCAGGAAACAATTCTTTCACTATTCTAATCACAACATCTCGCATTGTGGTAGAAAATATTTTTACACCGATTTTACGAAACTCTGAGTTTTCTTCATTTAATGTGTTAAAGTCTATTCCAAAGCCACAAGCACCAACAAAGTCGGTGGTGAAGCGAGCCATGAGGTCACGCACATTCAAGGAACAATTTTGAGAGGCAGCTTCTAAAGTGCGTGACTGTAATTTCTCAGCTCGTTCTACAATTAATGGGAACATAGCTTTTAGTTTGCCACTTGTAAATGCTGGAGTCATTCTTTGTCTCAATAAGCGCCAGAGATCTCCGTCAAGTGAAAACACGTTTTTTCTTAAAGGCTCTAACACTGTTTTATGAGCATTGAATCCGCGACTGTAAAATGATGAGAAGTCACTTGAAAGAACGTCTTTTATCAGCTCTGGATTCCTTATAATTAATTCTGGTGTGGTTGCCTTGAAACCTCCAACGACGTCTTCTTCGGGATACTTCAAATATAGTTCTTCTGCCATCTGTGATCTGCTTTGTTTCCAAAACACAACTTTCTTATATGTCCCAAAAAATATAACAGGTTGTTCGTACTTGATTCCTCTATTTTTCCAGTAACTAAATGTTCGAACATTGTATAAATACAATAAAAATATAAAAAACCGGCCAAGTGCGAGTCGGGCTCGCGCACAAAGGGTTCCGTAGCAGCAACAGTTAAATCAACCTATCTCAAAAACTATAAGAGATACTTTGATCAAACCAAAAATCGTTGAAAGAGTTAATTAGCATGCATCACCTCTATTTTTTTTAGAATTTTATACCCCGTAGTTATAAAAATAGAGGGGGGGGGACATACTTTTTACGACTTTGAGAGCTGATATCTCAAAAACCGTTCACTTTAAGAAAAATGTTTTTTAGAAAACTTTATATCATTTTAAAAGACCTTTCCATTGATACCCCACACGGGTATGTACATCGAAAAAAAATTTTCATCCCTCAGTTACATGTATGGGGGGCCCCACCCCCAATTCTTTTTTTTACTATTTAGTGTCATAATTTTGTAGCGGTTCATACAACACATATTCCCATCAAATTTCATCACTGTAGTACTTATAGTTTCCGAGTAAATCGGCTGTGACAGACGGACAGACGGACAGACGGACAGNCATCGAAAAAAAATTTTCATCCCTCAGTTACATGTATGGGGGGCCCCACCCCCAATTCTTTTTTTTACTATTTAGTGTCATAATTTTGTAGCGGTTCATACAACACATATTCCCATCAAATTTCATCACTGTAGTACTTATAGTTTCCGAGTAAATCGGCTGTGACAGACGGACAGACGGACAGACGGACAGACGGACAGACGGACAGACGGACAGACGGACAGACGGACATGACGAAACTATAAGGGTTCCGTTTTTGCCATTTTGGCTACGGAACCCTAAAAAGGCGAAAACGACGATCAAAATCATTGTCGGTTATAATTGTACCCGACACCACACAATTCACTCAAGACTGCTTTTGATTTGTTTCATAATGTTCTGGACTATGCTATTTAGCTATAGCTATCTTATAAGATTATATTGTTATCAATTACTTATATAATAAAATGTATCTTATATCTTATAAGTTGTCTTATTTATGTTATCAGTCATTTGATGGCTTATCTTTGCTTTTGTTAACAAAAAATCATCTTATCATGTCGACAACAAACTTTCCCAATGTCAAGTCAAAAAATTGCAACAAATAAATATTTATTTACTCGTCATACATAATAATATTTACATACACGATTTTGATATTTGGGATGTTAATTCCGAACCAAACACAAAACTTTAAGTTTGTTTATGTTAAAATTACTAAAATATCACATTATAATTAAAATTATATAACCAAGAAATATAATATTCACCATTGGTTTCAAGTATCAATCACTTTTTTTTCTTTCTCTAAACATAAGTGGCAAATTATTGTTCTTAACACCTTGAACAACGTTCGATTTAGGATTGACTTCAACATGTCTCATCGACTCAGGCGCAGGTTCCACGGTGAATTTCGACAGAATGGCCGCCAGACCAGCCAGTGATTGCATCAAACCCAGGCGACTACCTGAAAACCATAAATATTATAGTCTCTACATATTAGTCAAAGGTAAGATTAATGTTATCTTTTAATTTTTTTTTACAACGAAGCAAGAAACTAAATAGTGTGCATAATACCTTATTAGGTTTTGAGATATAATCATAGTTTAACTTTTTAAAGTAAGAATCTACTGTTAGCCAGTTTCTTGCCCCTATTATTAAAAAAAATATAAATAAAATAAATCGAATAATAATCGAAGATTGATTTCAATATTTTTAATAAATGTATTTATTTACCTATACAATTTCGTGGTCCTTCACCGAACGGAAAATAAACCAATTTCTGTCTGGAACTAAAATTATCCGGGTCAAATCTTTCCGGACGAAATTCTTCAGGGTTATCCCAATATTTTGGGTCCATGTGCAACGACTGTACTGGAATCAATACTTTGACATCTTTATCTATAGTTAAATTTATATCTTTGAACGTATACTTTGACGTACACTCTCTCATGAGGTATCCAAGGGAGGGGAACATTCTTAATCCTTCTTTAAACGCCCAATCTAAGTATGTCATCTCTTTCACAGCATCATAACATAATGTACCGTTATATTTATCAAGTACAGTATCAATTTCATTCTGAACTTTTTTTTGAACATCCTGATTGAATGCTAGTTGATGCAATGTGTAACTAGTTGAAGATGCAGATGTTTCAAACCCTGCACCAAAAAATACAAACACTTGGGCAGCGAACAAATCATCATCCAATTCAGCTGACACCCGTACGGGAGTACCATCAGGGTTGAGTTTTTCTATGGATTCACCTTCCATAACACCTTTCTTTTGACAGGCTAAAAGCAGATCTATGAAGTCGTTGCGACCCGATGGCTGATAGTTTCTTTTGATTTTTATTTGTTTCACCAAACCCAATATGTCGCTTTCGACTCTCACGAACACCTTGTAATTTTTGAAGAGCTCAGGAAACATTTCTTTCAGGATAATAACTATAATATCTCGTGTTGTGACAGAAAATATGCTTGCGCCGAGTTTACGGAACTCTGAGTTTTCTTCATTCAATGAGTCAGAGTCTATTCCGAAACCACAGGCACCAATAAAGTCAGTGGTGAAGCGAGCCATGAGGTCACGTGCATTCAGGGAACGATTTTGAGAGGCGGCTGCTAAAGTGTATGACTGTAATTTCTCAGCTCGTTCCACAATTAAAGGGAACATTGCTTTTAGTTTTCCACTTGTGAATGCTGGAGTCATTCTTTGTCTCAACAAGCGCCAAAGATCTCCGTCAAGAGAAAATAAGTGTTTTCTTAGAGGCTCCATAACTGTTTTATGAGTAACTAATCCACGTCTGTAAAATGATGAGAAATCATTGATAAGAACCTCTTTTATCAGTTCTGGATTCCTTATGATTAATTCTGGTGTGGTTGCCTTGAAACCTCCAACGACGTCTTCGTCGGGATACTTCCAATACAGTGCTTCCGCCATCTGTGATCTGCTTTGCTTCCCAATCAAAACTTTTCTGTATGTCCCGAAAAGTAGAACAGGTTCTTCGTACTTGATACCTCTTTTTTTCCAGTAACTGAATGTTCGAACATTGTATAAATACAGCACAAATATAAAAAAGGCAAAAATTACAATCAAAATCATTTTCGATTATTATTGTGTCCGACACCACAATTCACATACGACTGAATTAAATTTCTGTACAATGCTATTTTTAGCCATATCAGTCGCTTGATAACTTATCTTTGCTTTTGCTTACAAACAAATATTCATTTACCTACTCGTCATACATAATTATATTTTAAAAAACTATGAAAAGTTTGTTTGTTTGCTTGAAAGCACTAATCTCAGGAACTACTGGCACGTAATTAATTTTGTGTTGGATAGCCTAAGGCTTTAAGCTGAACATCACCCTACAGCTAATAGCGTCGGAGCAGGAAAGAAAAATGTTGTAAAAACGGAAAACAATATTTAAACTATTTTCACGCGTACGAAGTCATGGGCACAGCTAGTTAATAAATAAAACTAGTCTTTAAGAATAACCTTACTTCTTCAGCATCCAAATCTCAGACTGCATAAAGGAGGTAGGTGATTCTTGGGGAATTAAATGTAGATTGAAAAAGAGGCTGTCAAAGATAACTGAGGCCCGTTTTCACCATCATCAATCCCAAATTTTTAAGTGACCCCTATGAAAACAAAATTCATGTTAAGTGTTACCATAGGTGTCACTTAAAAATTAAGGATTGAAGGTGAAAACGGGCATTAATTTCTTCCGCCACTTCTTCTTAGCACCAGCCCATATTTTATATTGTCCCAAAATGGTAGCAGGGAAAGCTATATTTAGGACGTGTTTAAGCTCCCTGGAAAGGGCCTTTATACTGAATAAACTATTAGATTTGATCAGAATTGATCAGCCCAAATTTGGCGTCCAGACTGGAGTTAATAATTTAACTTCGTCATCTATAGTTTTTGTATCTTTGAACGTGTATTATCTTTAAACATTTCCAACCTTCTTAAGGCTTCATAGCATTATGGTACGACATAGGTGCGCCTCTACTATTCAGAAAGCTCTTCTTTGTTCATTTGTTCTTTCGTTTTAGCCAAATGACGTCCACTGCTGGATAAAGGCTTCCAAATAATAGGGTCTTCTTTGTATTAAAACATTTTAGGGTTATGTTAAATCACAGTCGTATAGTTGCAAAAAATCGTTTGACTAGCCACGATGCAAACAATGCACCATGTGGTATTGACTGTTTGCTGTCATGCGAATTGCGTTCGTTCATTCGACCGAGTGGGTGAATGACTTTTTAGTTTATCAGTTATATGCGATCAAAATAAAAGAATCAATCATCTTTTCTTATTAGAGAAAAAAGTTTTTATTAATTATAAATTTCACTTTGCAGTTAAATTTTTTGAAAATATCGTGATGTGCGTGCGTATTTTTATGAATGAAGTAAATTAACCACGCGTGCCAGCATATTTTTTGGCTATTTACATAAATCGATTAAATTAAATTTTTGCAACACTTTGCAATCATCCTGTACCTATACTGTGCCGAATTATTTAAACCAAATCCAGTTAAAAAGATAAGCATAATAATATGCCAAAGCCAAAGGTACAAAATATCAAAAACAAAAAATAATTCGATAACCTTGCATTTGTTATTGAAAAGATAAATTCAAATCAAAAGCCGCGAGCAAGACCTAGTCCATTATAATTGGTAACACGATATCCCAGGAGCACATTCTCATTATGTATTTTATTTGGCAAATTCACACCGCTGTAGCCTTGCGATTAATAAACGTTTTCTTTTCCTAAAAGCTCCCATTACTAAGGGCGGTTTATTTTCACATTTAAAAATAATGAGTTTTATATCAGCATAAGGCGTAAGCCTCACTACGAGCTAAGTCTGTTCGCCGAGAGTTGATAAATATTATGAAATGTCTTGCAATAGCAACTGTCGCTTAATTATCGCATTCTGTATGGCGGGCGTCGTTTGTCACAACGCGCACTGAGTACCATGGTACGAGCCACGCAGCTGTCGTCAAGCGCCCCGGCCGGCGGGCCGCAATGTGTGAAACGGAATAGATTTATTTTACATAAGACCGAAATGAAAGGTATGACAGTGGGTAGGGTTTTGCCTAACATTGGGATACACTATAAGCCACTTGATAATAATGAAATACTTTTTATCCAACACATGGACGCCACGTGTTTGATCCGTATCCCCACGTATGCCCTAACCGGAATAATTCCCGTAAATTTAAGGCGATTAGAGTCCTCAATCCGCTCCAAATGGGCATTTTGTAAAGCCTACTCTTCTTTTACT